CTTTCTAAAGAAAAATCTATGATAAAGCCAAAACAAATAGTTGCCGTGCGAGTCCTCAGCGTCATAACCCTAGATCATTCGAGGAGCCAAAAGGAAGACGTACAATTGTATCTTACGACAGTATCTCTTGACCAGAAGCATACCACAGACTGGACAATTCGGCTACGAAAGAACAAGAGTCATGCAAACTGCAGATAATCCAATCCATCAATCCGTAACTCCCCCACCCCACCCCCCTTCCTTCCATTCTTCTCCAAAGGATCAGGGTAAAGCACGAGGCAGTCCAAGAGAAGAAGAAAAGAAAAATATAACCAGACCATGCATGTCAAAAAATTGTACTGCATTCCCTTCAATATTCACCGATCGCGGCCTCGGGAATAGCCGCCCTTGAAAAATAGGCGGTGATTAGGCTGAGAAGACAATGGATAACGAAGATGGTTAGATTAGTTCTGATGTGTCTTGATGACGCTCAGACCCTATATCGTGAAGGCATATAAAGAGCGTGGCTCTCAAAGTCAACCAACTCAGCTCAATCCCCCTACTCCCCACACAACAAGAGTTCCGAGGAACAACACCCTCCCTCAACGCTTCATTTACACAACAGAGCACAATGGTACTTACTCGCAAAATGCGGAAGCAACTAGCAGCCACTCAGGCTGCAAACACGGAGACGACAGTCAGTAATGAGACGCCATTAACGCATTTAAGGCATTCGCGTATTACACATCCCGGAAACGGTCCGCGATCAATGGCCGGAGAGGACACCGCCGTCCATAACAATGCGGTTGAAGCCTCCGCCAACGTCCGCACCAATGCCTTCAGCACCACCACGGGAAGCGTCGGTGCTTTACAACACAACATAGTTATAGAGGACCAGTCCTCTAACACCCAAACTGCGCAAGCTGCACATGTCGTCGAAACGAAACGTAAACGAAATGGTAAGTCTCCTTCCTCATTTCACGCCAGAATTCCTCATTAAAATATTTATTCCAGCCGAGGTCCTTGATAGCCAGCCACAGGCATCGGGATCTTCCACCGAAAGTCCGCAAAATTCTCGTGAAGGTAAGTTAGACCTCCATACGTAAGTGCAGCATTGAGCTGACATAAGGCCCAGAACTTCCGGGAGTCTCCTCCCTGCCCCCTCCCAAGCCGAAGGCTCGTAAAAAGCGTGGCCATGGGTGGACCCGCAGAAAAATCAGAAGGGCGACTACTCAAGGTTGTGCTATCCGGGTAGGCGGCAAACGCCCAATCGAGGGCGTCGATGGCGAAGAGGACGAGGCAAGGCGAATGAAGAGGCGGCGTATTAGTGAGGACGCCGTTGCGGGGTCATCCAACGCACGTTCAATGTCGTTGGACAACACGATTGGTGCGACCAACATCCGTCAGCTGCGATCGCGCAGCATCGTCTTTCCCGCAGATCCCGCAAACGAGGGAAGCGACGAGGGAAACACGACGACGAGGTCGTCATCTCCAGATCGTGCATCAGAACGACCGACTTTAGAAGATACACTAGAAAATGAGGTAGACTTCACTCTCATAAAAACAGAGGATGAAGAGGAGGATTTCCTCTGGGATACTTCTCCGCCTCGGGATTGGAGTCTGCTGATGCCAGAATATGAACTGGCAACCGAGGACACATTCCGATTTGACAGTAACCGGAGTACGCCGGAGCTGACGACTGGACGTGACGGATCCCATAGGGATAGAAACGAATCGGTCGGCTCAACGCCCGTAGGAACGCCATGGGCCCAATCAGTGGACGTCCAATCGTTTGATAGATCCCTTGTGATCGTTCTTCCGGGAACGATGGAGGAAGCGGAGCCACCGGACGAGTTAATGGACGTTCGGGATGAGGGTGAGGACGAGGACGAGGGCGAGGACGATGTTTCGGTTTCTTCCATCCCTGTTGACAGAAGAAGGTCCAGGGCTCCCAGCCCTCCATCTCTTCCTCCGTCACACTCCGTATCACGATTGTCAACTCCCCAGCGTGAAGAGGAGACAGAAAGCGCTAGATAGTTCGTATGGATGTCACCAAAAGAAGCGGCTCTATACAGCCTTGAGCGCCACGACCATATCCGACCAAGCTTAGAGGTCTCGTATTTTTATCGTTCATCTCGACAGCCGTCCAGAGGAAAATGCATACGATCAAGAGATCATTCCACACCTCGATTACGGTAACGAACCGCAAAGTCGGCCTGCTCGCCCTCCTGGCTTCTTATGTCTGCCTTCTTGTTAGTCCGGTGTCCGTAACGCGACCACAGACTTTGATATCGACCATCGTCAGCTGGACGTCTGCTCCCTGCTAGATAATGCCTCTCCAACACTATCCGTAATTTATCCGAGTCTTCCGAAGTGTATGTCAGCAACTCGACAGTGTCCTCCGATGCAATGGCGAGTTGAACGACTGCCGGGCGTATGTACAACAACGTCGGCGATAGCCCTTCATCACTTTCGGCACATTTGTCTCTACTTCCCGCTGTCGCGACTGCACCACCAAGTCCTTCCTTGACTTTCCGCCAGTAGTTCTTGTCCTCCACCTGCTCTGTACTTGTACTCGTTTCTGTATTTGTATCTCTTGTTTCCTCTTTTGTTTTCTCTCTGTTTCGCACTTCCTGTACGGCCAATGGCTTCCTT